TAAATAAAATTAAATAAATAATTCTTTAAAAAGAAAAAAAAGTATCCTTAAAAAAAAGAAAAAGAAAAACAATTCTATAAGATGGCAATTAGGACAAGCTTAATTTTAATAGACAAGGAAAATGAGGCAGAGAAAAGTAACTTGTGCAAGGTCAAAGAAATACATCTTCAGACTTGTGAATCTAGAGCCAACACTTTTACTCACTAAGCACAATATATAGGTTTGACATTGGTATTCACTTTTCTAGATCCAGTTTCCTGTCCCAAGATGTTTGGGTGGATGATTAGATCTCCTCCACCCATTGGCTCCAATATTAGAATCTCTATGGTTTAATGAGAAAACTACAATAGAATCTAGAGATAAGGATATAAGCAAACTCCAAAGGAGGAGCCTGGTTTTAGGAGTGAGAATTTGTTGCACGGCAGAGATCGGGATCCTGGGTCTACCTCTAATACAGGAAAGCACCTGGCAGGATGCCCACCTAAAACTCACAAACACACAATGAGCTTGTTATGCCTCCGCCCACACTGTTACCATGGCCATGAGGATCTAAGATGCCAATCCTCTGTGTAGTTCCTGATTTGCAGAACCTTCCCAATTCACGCTTCCTCTTTCAGTCTCTTCACTCTCCTATGGGCTTCACAGCCCTCTCTACTATCTACCAGCTGTTGGCCATGTGACCCCCCTCCTTGAACACCACCAGAGAGAAGCAGCTCATTACCCAGCAGACCCAAACCCTTCTCAAACCCCTTAACTACTTGCGAAGTCTTTCTCCTATCCCTGAAATCTGTCTCCCCATTTTCTCCAGCCACTAGTTCTAGCGTTGCCCTCTGGGATGTCATCTCACATCTCTTCCTGACTCTTTGAAATAACTGGAGATCATCCTCACATTTGCCTGGGTCTTCTCTAGGCCAGTGGTTTTCAGACTTGAGCATGCATCAGACATCAGAATTTTGCTGAACCACACAGAGAGAGTTGGTCCTCACCCCCCAAGGTTTCTTATTCAGTCTTTCTGGGGTGGACCTGGAAATGTACATCTTCAGGATGCCACCACTTCAGGAGGACCATGCTGCTCTGGATAGGCACGCTTCATCTCTTTGAATGCTCTCTGCAAGAGCTCCCAGTCCTCTTCATCTTTTTCATCTCTTTCCAGGACACCTGCTCCAGTTCAGAATAGGAAATATGGTTTCCAATATAGAACTAAGAACAAGACAAGGAATTATAGTAGCCGGTTTTGGGTTACCAGGAATAGAGATTCCCTCAGGCTATCTCAAGTAAAAGGAGTTGCTTATTGTGGACTAAAAACAAAAAGGAAGGTCAGGTTCATGGTCAGCCTGACTAGCCCCCGGGCCGATCAGGCCTCAGGAGAAAAGTAGAAATGGCCATGCAGCTGGCTTCTCCCACGGAGCACAAGAAATCTTGCCAGTCTCTTGGTAGTGGGGCTGTGTTTATCCTCAGTTGACTCTGACTATTTCTGCTGCCACCAACCAATCCCCATCCCTTCTCCCGTGTAGATTTTCTCCACCTCGTGGCTTCTGCTTCCTCATTCTTATTTCTGTTTTCTTACTATCTTTATGTTCCTTTTGGCCTCTGTAATACCACGGCCTCTCTCCATGAACATTTCAGCTTCTGGGCCTGCCACCATCTGCCTGCTTTGCTCTTTACCCCAGTTCAAATTCCTAACAAAGAATATTGGAGTAGGAGAGTTTGTTCCAGTTTAGATAAATCTCTTCAAAATAGCCTGTTGAGGGGACCAGCAGTTGGCGTAATGGCTATGTCGCTGGACTCCCACATAGTCGACCGCGGTTCGCGTCCCGGACCTGGTGGCTTGAAACTCATGCTGGGCGCGTGTGCATGTGTGCCCAAGATCCAGAGAGGAGAATGGAGGAGAAGGGATTGTGGCGTGACCATCCCCCCTGGGGGATGATTTCTCGCTTTCTGTCTCTCTGTCTCTCTTTATCTGTCTGGCGAGCGCACATGCCCTATAGCGAAAAACCTCTCCAAAAAAAAAAAAAAAA